GTCACCGGGAGACACAGAGAGAGGAGCTCTTTCTGAGTCAGACGGATAGGGGTTGGGCAGATACAATAGCCTGACTGGATCCATCTGCAGTAATACGGATTCTCAGTTGGCTCTAACTCACTAAATCTGGATGCTCTAATATGATCTAAAATTTTGGATTTCTTCTCTGAGCAGGAGGATGAAAAGAGAAGAGAAGAAAGAGATGAAAGGAAAAGGAAATATAATGTGAAGTACAATGATGAGGTACATCTAAATCTTCAATTTTTAGCTTTCGACTCTCTTCTGTATCTTTACTTTTTGGTTCTTACCACATTTGTCTTTGTAGGTTACACCGGAAGAAATGGAAGCCTATAGGATGAAAAAGGTCCTCCATGATGATCCAATGAAGGACTTCCTGCACTGAGTTATGAATGTGGCGGAACCTTTCCAAGTCGCAGAAGTGGAAAGTCCTTGTTGCTCTGGCTGCAGTGCGTCTGTTTAGGTAGCAGTTGCCATCACATGCATGTAGGTGAATTGTACCAGGGGAATGAGAGATTACTTTCGAGTCCTGTTCGTCGTCCTTTCTGTGATTTGGTATTTGTTGCAGTGTTTGTTTAAGGTGAAATACTCCTCCCAGGAACCACCCAATAAAAAGTTACAGAGAAGAAACTCTTTGGATCATCGACGCTCCGAATGCCTGTATATATATGTGCTACTTTAAACCCTCTTCTCCGTTATTGCAATTAAATTGGGGTCGAGAGTTGTGTACGTCCTGATCTCTTGTTTATACATACGCAGTAGGCTTTTAATGAATCGTGGTTTTCAGACTTTATATTTTAGTTGTCTTTATCTCCTTTTTATAGCACAAAAATTGTTGTGGAGCTTAGCGGTGGGCCTGGCTGATTTCTGGTCTTCATTGTGCTATTAATGTGCTTTCTCTTTATCCCTCTCCCTTCAAAAATTGCCTCCTTGCATCTAACGAGCTCATCTAAGATATAATTATTATTGTTGTTTTACTTTCCATTTCAATTTTATATAATATTCTTTCCTTTTTAGTTTGCACAAAAATGACTGGCACCTTTTTATACTCGGAATTTTTCTAAGATCATCTTTCTTATTTACTTTTAATGACACTCCAATAGAAATGATCAAAACATGTTTCAAACTAAAGAACTCCAAGGGTATATAGCCTATGAGTCACATGTCATCTTTTTTCTTCAAAAGCTTAATATTTAATCCTACACCGATATATATATTTAAAAAAACAGAGTATTTTCTAGGTAACTTCTATTGTGTAAATGTTCAGCAAATAAAATTCAAACTTAATAAGACTAATAGCCTGTTTAGGCTACAACCAATGCTAGAGTATAGACTATGATAAGATATTGAATTATCAAGATAGCATCAATGGCGATTAGGCGGTTAAGTGTGATTTGCTTGATAAGGGAAGGAAGAAACGTTCCTAGAAGTCCTATTAACGCAAAACAAGTAGATTTTTACGTTTTTAAATTACTAGAAGCTCTTAACTACTTAACTATGCTATAGCCTCTAAAGGCTTTACTTGAATAAAAGAGGCCACATATTCAAAAAAATAAAAAAATAAGAATAAAAGAGGCCAAGCTTCTAAAACAAATTGGGAAACAGAGCTGGAGCACTATGAGATTAATAGCATGTTTGGCCAAACTTCTAAAATCCGTTTAATTTGAGAAGCGTTTTTCAAAAAAGTACTTTTAGTGAGAAGTAGTTTGTGTTTGATTAATTAATTTGAAAAATACTTTTGAGTAACAATTAGTATTTAACCAAGTTTTTAAAAAAATAATTTTGGAGAGAAACTACTTTATTTTGTTTCTCTAAAATTACTTACGATTCTACTTAAAAATATTTTTTCCTTCAAAAAGTTTGACCAAACACCTTAATATCGGCAAAAAAGTACTTTTAACTAAAAAAAACACCTTTGACCAAACATGCTATAAGATAGGGTAGGGAAAATGATATTGTATAGTAACTTTTAAAATAATAACCAAAAAAATATTTTATATATATATATATA